CGCTGCGCGCCGCACACTGCAGGCTCGTGGGCTCATTCGTACTTTTCGTGAGTTCTCAGCGGCCACGCTCTAACCCCACTACTTTCCCTCCCTCCCAGGCCCCGCCCCCTGGGTCATGAGGTCCTCCTCTTCAGGCCCCTTCTTCTGGATCCCCAAACCCACACCTCTCGGCCCTTGGGTACCACCACACGTTTCCAAGAACCTGGGTGCCTCCCTTGCAGAGCGGCCTGATCGCGTAGAGCTGATGCCCCTGCCTGCCTGGCAGCCTGTCGGCGAGAACTTCACCCTGAGCTGCAGGGTCCCTGGCGCTGGGCCCCGTGGGAGCCTCACAGTGACCCTGCTGCGGGGCGCCCGGGAGCTGGTCCGCCGTAGCTTCTAGGAGGGAGGACCATGGGGCCAATTTCTCGTGCCGCGCGGAGCTGGACCTGCGGCCCCACGGCCTGGGGTTGTTTGAAAACCGTTCGGCCCCCAGAATGCTCCGAACCTTCGGTGAGTGGGTGTGGGGAGGTGAAGGGGACGCAGAGGGGCTGGCCCGGTGCTTGAGAAGTTCGGAGGCAGAGAGGTCCGAATTCTAATCCTCGCGCCAACACTCACCAGCTGAAAGCCCTGTTCCTCTCCGGCTCCAGGATAGCGGGATAAGATCGTGCTCGTAAAGCGCTTAGTACACACATGGTGGGTGTTCAGCACGTAAGTTCAAGCTCTCTTCTTGGACTCCCAGCACTGTCTCCGGAGCCCCCGCGCCTCGCTGCCCCCCGGCTCTTGGAAGTGGGCTCGGAAAGCCCCGTGAGCTGCTCCCTGGACGGGCTGTTTCCAGCCTCGGAAGCCCGGGTCTACCTGGCGCTGGGGGCCCAGAGGCTGCATCCGGACATCATCCTCGAGGGGGACGCGCTCAGGGCCGCTGCCACAGCCACGGCGAGCGCAGAGCAGGAGGGCGCCACGCAGCTGGCCTGCAGCGTGACCCTGGGGCGCGAGAGCCGCGAGACCTGGGAGAACGTGACCGTCTACAGTAAGCGGGAGCGGGGCCGGGCCTCTCTGGCTTGGGAGTGGCGCCGGAGGAACGCGAAGGCGGGACAGAGAGTGCGCGGGGTCTTCATACCCGAGTGGGCGGGGCCCATGGAGGGCAAACTGAGTGACGAGAGAGGCGGGGTCTGAGCGGCTGGGCGGGGCTGTGGCTTGACCACCGCCAAGTGGCGGGACGAGGAGGGGCGGGGCCTGAGCAGTTCGAGGGGCGGGGCGCCGTATCCACCGAGCGTTCCCGCCGATCAGGGGGGTGGTCAGTTGACTCCGAGCGAATGTTCCACCCCTAGGCTTCCCCGCGCCCCTCCTGACCCTGAGCGCGCCCAGCGTCCCCGAGGGGGAGACGGTGACAGTGACCTGCGCTGCTGGGGCCCCAGCTCTGGTCACTCTGGACGGAGTTCCGGCCGCAGCCCCGGGACAGCCCGTCCAGCTCCAGCTAAACGCCACTGCGAACGATGACAGACGCAGCTTCTTCTGCGACGCCGCCCTCGAGGTGGACGGGGAGGTCCTGAGCAAGAAAGAGAGCACCGAACTGCGAGTCCTATGTGAGTTGAGCTCTCGCCTCCCCCCTGGTGATTTCCAGGGACCTGCCCAGTCCCCGCCGTTTGTGGAAGTGGAGCCTTTCCCACGGTCCACGTGGAGCCTTCTCTACCCCACATCCCTGCCCGCAGACGCCCCCCGGCTGGACGATTCGGACTGTCCCAGGAGCTGGACGTGGCCCGAGGGCCCAGAGCAGACGCTGCGCTGTGAGGCCCGCGGAAACCCAGCG